CAATTTTTATCGATTTTCATCCAAGTGCCCCTTTAAGTAGTTCATGAAATCCCAGAGCAATATCATGACATTAGAATATATGTAAACAGCTAATTATATTTTATCGATGTATATTATCAAGACAAAAAGGAAAACGAAAACAAATGTAACTAATAGCGAATAATAGACGCTTTTAAATATTTTTCTTCGTTTTTCTGACAGCCTTTCAAATTAAAATCTTTATGTCGATTGACGTTTGACCACAAAAAGGTGAAGCAATTTATAATTGGCAAATATGTTTTGTAGAGAGACATACTGTGAAACCTTAATTTTGCTTTCTTTGAAAGAGAATATGTTGAAAATAATAAAACTTTTTTTTTACATGCTCTTTTCAGCTATGGTAATTTTTCTTCTGTACGTTTTGAAGACCCTTAGAATTACAAGACAAAAACTCATTATTTATTGAGAAGATATTCGGTAAAAGTTTTCTTGGATTGGTTATCATACTCTTAAAATCAAAAAAATTCATCTTGTGAATATAACAGCGAGAAACAAAACTGGACGCCAATTTGCTAATTCTAGCTGTCGTGATAAGATTGTCATTTGAGGGACTAAGGCCTAGGGCAAACGTAGAACTTTCCATGCTCCGAACTTAATTACATCAAAGAATGCCGCCTCATTATCACCTGATGTTCATTGTTTTTAATGAGGTCGATGCATGGAAAGTTCGACGTTTGCCCTAGACCTTACCCTTCCCGTGAATTAATACTAAATTATTTTTCATAATTAATGAACGCATGCTATGGAATGATAAACTATCATTATGAATTTTGTTCCTAGAACAAGATTTTACCCCGATAACCGATAACCTAAGATCAAGTGCCCTTCAAGCTCACTATGAAAAACCGTTTACGCATGCGTGAGTTTCAGTACGTTTTCCATCAATCTCGTACGGCCTGCGGCGAAGAACGAGAGCTCTGGCATAATCCCTTTTTTGAGACCAGGATTTCTTGGACTTCCGGGATAAGAGCGCATGGGTTCAAAGACTTGCCAAAAATGTTTTAAAATGTTCTCGATATTTTCAATTTTTATTTTAATCGGAAGTAAACACAGAACTCTGTTTTAAAGCATGATTTTCATTGATAATATTTCACTGCTTTCACTAGACAGTTTCATAGAAGACAATTATCCTTATGCTTTCGACCCTTTATAACTAATATAGTCCATTTATTGGGCAAGCTTGAAAGCCCAATCTCCATATTTGAAGTTGTAATACACTAGAAGACGACTGAAGTCGAACTGTGCATACAGCATTCGTATTTCATGTTGCTAAAAACCTGGCGGTCTTTTCAGTGTAATTCTGAACCGTACCATTTCTCTAAATTATTTATATTTCTCAAGGAGACCTCTTTTGTATAAGTCCTTTGGTTTCTAGAGGCCTCCTTGTRCTGTATTGCATTATACTTTTAGCATTTGTATTTATTTCTTTATTTTTTGTACTATAATTATTTTGCCGTATTTATTTCACTTTTGTAATCTAGCTATATATAGATTTGGTAATATAGCAGAAATTCAATAAATGTAAATGTAAAATCTCAAGTTGTGTTCTCTTGTCTTCTATATCAATGGAATATTATTATTTTCCTAACGAATGCCGATGTCAAATGCATTCTCTTTCCTTCAATCAAGAAAATGATCTAATCCTGATAATGCCAAATCTCGAAGATTATTGTATCCGATCTATGTTGTCATCCACACTAATCATTGGAGTCGAAATTATTTCATTAATTTTGCACATTTTTTATCCCACGAAAGTGTTTTCATACAATTCTGTACAGCGGCCCAGTTGTACAAAAGGTGGACGGCGCTATCCAACGGATAAATCTTATCCAGTGGATAAATTTATTGGATAACAGCATCGACTTATCCACTGGATAAAGATTTATCCGTTGGATAGCGCCGTCCACCTTTTGTACAACTGGGCCCAGATCTTTAGTTTTAGTCAAGAGAATAGTTTAGAATAAGCCGTTACATGCAATTTCTTCTCGATGGAATCCTGATGACCAAATAAACACATTATATAATTACCAATGAAATATCTATTTTTCTCTATTTCGAAAAATTGATATCTTCACACGTGAAAATAACATGTTATTTTCACGTGTTAAAATAACACACCATTGCGATGGCTATTCAAAAATACACGGAAAGAAATGCCTGAAAAAGCCAGAATACTTTCATTGATAATCATATAATAAACAGAATATTACGTGGGCGCTTGGAGATACGAAATTTATCTTCTCGTGTTGAAAATTTCTCACTCGTTCGCTGCGCTCACTTGTGAGAGATCTAATTTTTTTTCAGTTCGAAAACATTAAAGGAATATCTTGGAGACCTTGTTATTCATGGTACGTACTTTTCATTCCATTTCTCGTTAGCTCTAAATTCAAAAGAAAATAAATCGCGCGCGTGCAAGGTGATTTCTTCTCCGCTCAACCACAGCAACCCAATTTAGATGAAAGTGAACGGTAAATATAAAATCGGAACAATTAAATAACTATATATATTTTAAATTCGATGTCAAGATAATGTCCTCAGTAATACAAAAGAGTAAACATTTTTTTTTTTTTGCGCGCTCCTTTGTTTTCCTATATAATATTCTAATGTCGTTGATATGTATAAATAATGTAATAGTGTTTATACATTTCAACGACCGATTACTTATTTAAGTTAAATATGTTTACTTTCAAATTTCTTATGATTTTTAATAGTCTAAAGTACGTAGTCTTAAAATTGTTTTAGGCTTCAGCAATTTTCATTCAGAATTATTACTGAAAAATAAAAAAATACGCAGTCTATGGCTACATGTAGGGAGATATTGAGATTTTCTTGTATCCACATGCAAAGAGACTTATAAATGATTTCACTCTTTCAAGAACTTTGCCATTTGCTTTAATCTGCGGCGTTTTCCATCTAATCCATGTAGTCATGGTATTTTTCTCATTAAATAACAAGTTATATAAACTATATAAAGCTAATAATGTATATGTATAAAACTAATAAAATTTGAAATTCAATTTAAAATTCAATGACGAAATGATGTGAAATGATGAACTTCATCAAGATCGTTTACATACAAATTAAATAGCACTGGCCCTAAAATGGATCCTTGTGGTACCCCACATTAAGTATCAATGAGTTCAGATTGTTTGACTTGGCTTGTACAAATTGCCGTCTATCTCCAAGATAATTAAGATTTTGGGGGGCCTAGAGTCCTCCCCTCCCCTCCCTGTTTTGAGGTGAACTTTTTTTCTTATTCTCATTTCTTATTCAATCGGAGGATGTATCAAGAAGAATTAAATTTCAATCGATAAGATGTCTATAGAGTTTGTGCGACCATGTGGCTCAAAATCCCTTGAGAGATGAATAACGATGAAACAGTCGCCATCTTGGTCGATGTAACAAGAGAAGCTAATGAGAAATACTTTGTTATCGTCAACCAAGATGGCGGCAATGACGTAACATGCACCTGCTCTATATTCGTCTGACATCCCGACAGTTTCAGCATCCCATTTAATCGATCAGCGAATTTTAACTATATGACCTGCTCTTTTAGCGGCCCGACCCAGCTAAACTGGAATGACATGTGCCTTTATGATATGATCAAGGCAAAATATTCATCAGGATTTATTGACCATGACGGTAACCTAAGCTCCAGAGATGCTATTTCGTTTGGACGAGCATGACCTTCCGCCAAAACAGCAAACGCGAGCGAGAACTACCTAACCTCTGGACCTCATGGTACCAGAGCGGCTTATGTCAATGCTCTCAGTATTGCTAGATTTGGAAAAATATTCATGTAGTGTTTGGTATATTTATTACGCTAGTGCAAGGATTCATTAAATGAAGGATCTAGGCTGCCAAGAGTGATATACTTAATTGTCACGATAAAGGATGAATGGAAAACTAACTTGCCATGCATTTCGAAATAATCCGCTTATTCGAAACAGAGGAGAAAAATCCAATCTAAATTGGCTGCCAAAATGTAATTTTTAATTTGTAGTGATGCCCAAAAGTGAAAGGCGGAAAGCTTTGATGACCGCCGTGTTTCTGAAGAACAACATAATATGAAAACCAGTCGTTTAATGAAACACGCTATAACATATGACGCTTGTCACAATGTAAAGTTTTTCATTGTTGAAACACGAAAAATAGAAAAAATAAAAATCAATCTCTTTATTTAAGTGTCTAGTCGTTCTAGCGCTTTCGCACTAAATTGGGGACACTTTTCACTCACACGCACTACCACTACATTCAATGTTCTATGCACACAACGCTCAACTCACATGTTGATACATGTTTTTACGGAGGGAGGAAACCGGAGAACCCGGAGAAAACCCTCGTAGCATAGGAGAGGACAACAACAAACAAACTCAATTCACGTGTGGTGACCGCAGGGCTCAAACCCAGCGACCCAGTCCTCACAGCGGTGAAAGACGACGCGTTAGTAGCGTACGCCCCCCATGCTACCCCTACATAAATTCAAAAACTTTTAAACCGTTTATAGTATTTTTTGTAACTTTAGTCTTTTTCATTCACATCGCCAGAAGTTGCGTCCGTGTTCCATTTTCTATATTACGATGTCAAAAAGAAAAAGAAAAATGAACAGCAAGCAGTGCACGTGTGTGATTTAAGAGGGCATGTTATCGTGATCAAGATTAAAGATAAAAAAGATTATGTTGACGATAGATGAATAATGGGTACTTATTTAAACCGGATGTTTTGACAGCCACTGACTTAAAGTGCTACTCTGACGAAAATCGCTCAAACTTGGATTCAGCTGAAACTTCCTAAGAATACTCTTTAAAGGTCCAATAATCACTGTATGAAGTGTTTTCTCGATATTCAGAACGAAAGTATGATATTTTTACGATTATTTTTTGGAGTCTGTGACGTCATACACTCAACATCGAACATCGCTCCATACATTTCTTTGTAGTTATAAAAATATCAGTAGTAAAAGGAGAAAGAAATATCCAAACACCCGAAAATATAAATTATAGTCACAAGTAATGTGAAATAAGCACATTAGCCACTCTTTGGGCTTCATAGGAATAAAATAAATTAAGGATTTATATACAAAGAAATATATGTAATTCATCATTTCACTGTTTTGAAGGTATAGACTGGCATATATACTAAAACTGCTATTCATCAATATAGGGGGCTTTAGAATCAAAATGAAAAATTATTTCTCATTAATTCCTACTTGTTATTTTTATATGAAAACGTTCTTGCAACCAGGTGTATATTTAACAATTATTCGCCGAAGGCGAAGTGATTATCGGGGAATATTTACCGAGACGCGAGTCTTCAAGCGGCGAGGTGAATATTCCCCAATAATCACTGAGCCTGAGGCAAATAATTGTTTTAGTATAAATACACAGGTGAATCTTTCAAAAAAATAAAAAAAAAGAAGATAAGGCATTTTTTCCCGGTAACAGCAACAAAGCGGCTGGCCGCCATTTTGGATTTTCGCTGGAGGTGATTATCGTGTGATAGTGTGAGTTTCTTGACCAATCAGCGCGCGAGATTTTCTATAATCACCTGCGTATTTTTACTAATACCAATTAAACAAAAAAGCTGGTTTTTTTTAATTTGACGGACGTCTGAGAATTTTCTTTGTATTTTGATCGAGAATTAAAGAATTAAAGCTTCGGAATCGAAAAGCATTGTCTATGTATTATAGAAGGCGTTTAAAATCATTAATAATTCACGAAGGAAACACAATAGAAATCATGACCACGAAGGAGGTTTTAGTATCTGATATAGATTCTTCATTTGCATAAACTTTATCTTGGATTTTCTCTATCAAACTTGGTTCATTCGTAAAGAATTTGGTACAATATAAGAACATACATCATGATGAGTTTTTTAAGCCGTTTAATAAACTCGGAGATCGTGTTTTATCGGGTCTAAAGCCACTCGCCTCGTGTTTTATACCCGATAAAACACTCCTGCTCGTTTATTAAACATTACATAGAAGCTTCTAAAAACTATACAGTTGTTTGAAGATTTCCAAATAGAAAATAAAACATGGAATGATTTTTTAAAAGAAGTGCGGCTAACAGTCAATGAATACGAAGAACGTTAACAATTTTTCTACCATGACAACCAATATCCCCTCTCGAAAATAATTCGAAACACCTTTCTCTTCCGTAGCCGCATTTTGCTTGAAATCTTTGGCTTTTACTGACGCATTTTTCTTTGGGATGTTACTGAAGCTGTGGACACTCGAAGGGGCCGAGCGAGGATTTCTTCAGTTTGGTATCGTAAGAACAAAGTTAATCAAAACTGAAAAGGGGATAATTTGAAAACAAAACACGGAAACAACCAAGCGTAAACCTAAGACAAACACACTTAAAGTACAACACAATATCTTATTAAAAACGGGTTGTGTGTGTTACAATACGGAGATATTTTATCTCTTCTGCGAGTTTCATTGAATTTATATTTTGAGTTAAATTTTCAACGATTATGGAGTACGAGAAATTTGATTTTTGTGGTTTGCTGACCAAACAGTTTTTAAGCCTAAATGCACTGAAAAGAAGAACGAACTTTTCTAAATTTAACCGAGAAGCTTTTAGGCTTAAAATAACCTAAATTATCAAAAAAGAAGTGCTAACTTCTCTCACCTCGCGAAAGAATTGAACGTTTGTATAATTCGTACGTGACTTGCTGACAAACATTTATTTACAGGCGGATAAGAGCCCGGGATTGGATCAATCGTTAATATAAACCAGTCGTAAAAGTCGCTTCAAGAGGAAACACTGACGTTTTTTATTTAGATTGTCAAGTGCACTGAAGAGAAGGCGAAGTTTCTTGTACTTGAACCACTGGTTACATTGAAATAACGTCAGGTAAGTTCTATAATAAATGCCATATAGTCATTTAGTATCAAATAAATTATTTCCGCTTTTATAGACGTTCCCCCCTGCATTACGGTAGTTCACTACCCTATTAGTAATGTTGAAAGTATATTTTTGATTTCAAAAGGAACTAATGTGAATGAATTTTAGCCACACACAATACAAAAGGTATTCAATGAAAATCGCTTGAAATATTGAAATTATTAGATACAAACATAATGTTATGATGAAAACGAAAAACCTCTTCATTTAGAGCAATCTGCTGATTTTTTTGAGGATTTTTCTCGCTTTGGGCTATTCAAACAGCTGAATCATTCACATACAGCAATACAAGTTAAAATTTTTTGTTTGTTTTCGGTTTCTTTTGTTCTCTCATCTTTTCTCATTACAACTGAATAGACTAAAAGTCTTACGACCACTACTAAGCATTTTGACGGCCGTCAATCAAGGAACTAAAACAAAAGAAAAATATCTTCAGGGAGATTTTAGAGTGAATAAATGATAGGATTAAAATCAGTTAAAATCTCTCTCAAAAAGATATTGTTTCAGTCTTTAATTCAGTTCTTTGATTGACGGCCCACCGAAATGCTAGTCAGCAAACGCCGGAGACATCAAGTTTCTAAGGTTAGCACTTCAACAATAATGGTAGTTATGTAGTTAGACTATAGTTACTGCTATTACTAACCGAATGGATTTGATAGGAGGACTGAATAATTTTTAGCATTTCATTGTTATTCTTGGTAGCCATCTGTATCTTGAACTGACCTGAGTGAAAAAGAAACTAGAAAATCCCACAGACCAAAAAGTAAGCACTTATCAGAGTTGTTAGCATATCTTTAATTCATGTCGTACTTAAAGTTGCCATGGCGAGGATGCTACTCAGGGATACATGAAAGACTAACTGAGTATGTAGTGTGACAAATATCGCTTAGACAGCTGTAAAGCACTTAAAGCCAATTGTTTTTACCCTCAAACTAACTTATGTCGGAAGGAAAACACACCAACACCTGGTTGAAAAACGAGTCAGCGATTAGGTTTTATCGTGGACTCAATAAAATATCAACTTTTTGGTCTCTTTTTTCTTATCTTTCTTCTGATTTCGAATTTCGATTTATGATGTCAAAAATAAAGGTAACGATAAAGTAAAAGTTAAGTACGCCTTTTTGAAGGTTTTCAAAGTTAAAGGCGAGAAAATTTAAATTGTGTATGATCCTACATATATTTTAAAATCCCACTTTTGAGATATGAACAAAAATATTACGAATATTGGATCGTTTGTTAAATTGTCCAATTTCAATATAAAGTCAAGTGAAAACATCATTTGTTTTACAACGCTAGCCAGAAATATCCGTTAAAAAACAAAAGCTTAAATTGACGGAGATGAATTATCCTTGTTTAAAAATTGGAAAAGCAATACGAAAGCCACCATATCGCTTTACGAAATGTTTGAAACACAGACACGTTAGAGATATTATTTCGAACTGCAGGGTAAAATTAGTCCAAACTTGTTTTGTTCTCTACCATAAACAAGCTGTGACGTGATAAGATTAAATTTACCCGATGGCCAGGCGGTAAGGTTTTTAGAGGAGAACTGTTCTCTGTATGCATCCTGTACACCACTTTTCGAGCTATGTTTCAGTTTTCTTGGAAAACTGAAAAGTTTGAAGGAACATTCAGAAAAAACTTTATTTTGAGATCAACAGCACCTCACTTTCATATTTAACAGTTTTTAGACGTTTTCTTTTTTATACTTCTGGAATTACCCCATTTCACTATGACGTCAAAGGGACATAAACAAGCCATTTCATAACAAATCGTACGGCAATTTTCTCACATTTCTAGCTTTGGTCATTTATTTAGAGTGGTTTTCAAAAACCCGTGAAACAAAGTGTAATAACTAAGGTGTCATAAATTGTATTAGCATATTAGCAACTTGTGTACTTCCTAAGAACGCGAGCGCTCATTGGTTAATTGGAAGTGAATATTGTACGATATTCACCTCAATCTCGGAATATGGCCTAAAAAGTTTTGCTAAAAGTTTTGCGGCTAAAAGTTTTCCGTGAATTTGTCACGCAAACTGCAAGTTTCTGTTTGTTTGTTTTTATTGAATTATTGTATATAAAAATAAGTTACTTTGTATACAAGTTGGTATATGCTAAAAGAATTATTCGCCGAAGGCGAAGTGAATATCGGGGAATATTTACCGAGACGCGATATATATACACATCATTATTGTTATTAGTAATATGATTTACACCTGTTGTAAAGAGCTGTTGATCAGCATATATAAATAGCGCTCTAGAAGTAATATAATTATTATAAATTATCATTATTTCTATTACCGAAGTGTCAATCATGCGTTTGAAATCATAATAATGATAATAATAATAATAGTAACAGGTTTCTCACAGCGCTTGAACCAACGGGTGTTCTCATTGTTTGAATACACTATCTGAAAGCTTGATTATATACCACAAACTGCATCTCAGAGATGGTGAAAACAGAAAAGCACTCAAGTTAAAGGCTATAGCTGAGCTGGGTAAGATAAGTTTCCTATTCCATTCTGCTTCAGTTTTTATTACTTATACTATCAATTATTTGATCATATGTGTCCCAAACGTTTTAAATTAAAACCATTAGGGTACGTGCGTTTCAGCCATCAGAGTATCAGAGTGACAATAACCGGCCGAACAAGACCGATTGTGAAACAACTTCTCGTATAATATTTTTTTGTTCTTTTATAGTAGCAAACATTGGATTGATGCAAATCATTCATCTCTAAAGGGTTCTAAAGTGGAAAACCGATAAGGCTATAGCAGTATCGTATTAATAATTTAAATTTAAAATTTAAAATTTGACAACCATGCAAAATTAGATGCAAAGCCATATAGTGGATTCAGTTGCTAATTTTAACTAGTACGGCTAGAAGAATAATGGAAGCTAACCGATGATTAAAACTTTGACGGTTTCTATCGCAGTTTCTAGTTTCATAGCACAAGAGGTCTTATTGTTTTATAAACCTACTAATCGGAGAAATAAATGGATACAAACGAGTTTGAAATAAGGTTTAAATAGTCTATTTTTTTTTTTTTGCCGTGTTTTGGTTTTCAAACCGGCACTTTTTGGACAACTGGTCTATCACAAGAAGCTCAGCCAATCAGAGTACAGGATAGTAGACTTACTAAGTCTAATAAGTATTGTAATTATACAGCTTCTCATTAATTAATTGGACAGGTCTTGTTGATATGGGAATAATTAGGCAGCTACATAATTAATAATAGGTAATGGGATTTCATGCTCTCCAATCACGAAATAATTAGATTCGAAAAATTCCTCTGACTGCCAAATTAGACTCGGCCTACGGCCTCATCCAATTTCGTCAGTCCTCAGAATTTTCCTCGTCCAATTATTTCTTAATTGGACAGCATGGAGTCCTATTACATATACAAACTAGAACGAATTTAATTTTCGACGTTTAACCAAACGTAAACTTTCCATTTCAAAACGCAAAATTTTATTCCATGGAAATCAGTCATCTCACTAAATCATTCAAACGTCTTACTGTCGTTCTACAGCAACCGTAGACACTCGAGTTTGTCATCCACTCAGATTTCCAATTGAAAACAATAGAATTCGAGTTGCATGTACTGAAAGTTTATAACAAAGCTATACAAATTTGTAGCCATACTGTTAGGTAGCCATTAAGACTACAAGTTGTGGCTGGATAATATACAAGGAGATGAAATGATAAAAGAGAAAGAAAATATAAAAGTATTTTTACACAAATAAAACTAAATAAAATAAATTAAACTCGAGTGTTCACTGTTAGAGTAGAAGGACAGTAAGGTAATTTCGTAGTTCTGCACTGCGCATCCCACTACGCATAACGTAATGATGGCAGAAAACATTTTTCGTAATGTTTCGTAATTTAGCGAGGTGTAGCGTGAAAACGAAAACGATGACCTACCTTTATATTTAATCAACTTAACGAGAACAAGGTTGGCTGTGATATATTTGAGTTTCAATAAAATTCTACGCTCAGATTCTGAGAAAGACGTTCTGTAGGAACTGTTTTCTGAATGATTTTCGGGATATTAACAACTGATGTTGAAAAAAATCCTTAATATTTTGCTTTACCCGCCGTTTTAATGACATGTTGGCTTCAGACTGTTGGTGTATTATGTTATGAAGAAAACAATATCAATATTTCAAAGCTAACAAGAATTCCCTGCTATTTGAGTACATTTTTTGATCGATTTTCGTGTTGAATATTGTTCGCCTACGCCAGCCAAAACTCCAAAGTTTGACGTCATTTAGTTGCAAAACATTTTAAAATTCTATTTCTGGAATAGCTAGTTCATTCAAAATCGTGCAAAGCTCATAAGAATTTTATGTTGAGGTTTATTTCAAGTTCAATAAATAACAATGAAACAGCCGCCATTTTGGTTGATCTAACAAGAGCAGATACCTCAGTGAAAATTTCTTAAACTTTTCCAAAAGTTTCTCAAAGCCGATTTACTAAAATTTCCAAAACCATCGCTGACATGTTGGCTGATCGGTGTTGAAGGTAACCGCTGTGCACTTATCAGCAGGCTCAGCTTCCCAGGCTTTGGGCATGTGTTCCCAAGGTCACTCTGCTAAACGAAAGTGGCAGCAGGCATTGATTTGCAGCAGGAAAAAATAAACATCGGCGTTTTTAATTAATACAAAGAAGAGTTCTTCGCAAGTTAGGACCTGGGCAACAACAGCAAAAAATCATAACTCTTCCATAGCCCAGTGGTCGAAAAAGAAAATTTCCAAAACTTTTCAGATCCTGGAAAAATGCATTATTGATTTTCAAAACTTTCCAAGACTTTCCAAAACCCGTACGAACCCCGTAATGAGGAATGCTTCGTTATCGTAACCAAGATGGCGGCAATGACGTAACATGCACCTGCTCTATTGCCATGGGTTAAAAAATATATCTATATAAATCGAAAACTAAATAGTGACCCCCAATGGAGCAATTTTAGAATACCCCGCAAATGATATGCAGTTGTCGGTACTCTTTGAAGAACGACGCATACGACAAAATGATTTGAGGGGTAACAATAACGTTTTATTGTACCTAGAATTACATTCATATTTACAAACAAAATTACATAACTATAAGTACAGGCCCTAACTAATAACTATAAAGTTAACAATGCGCTAGGACCATTCTACCATTCTAGGGGTATTCTAAAAGTATACCTTTGATGAGAATAGTTGAAGCGTGCGACAGTACGTTCGTAGAGGCATGCATACATACTTGCATGTTTCACTAATATTTCAACATTCATAGTCGTTCTATTACTCCGATAGATTTAGTAGTATAACTTAACTAGTAAAACTTCGAATAATATGTATATTTGTTGTGAAGAATGACTTTAAACCGAAAATAAAGGTTTGTAATTACAACTTTTGGTTGACACTTTTCGTTATAAAATCTACAAAATGTTATCCTATTTGAGCAGCGTCTAGCACGAAACCGAGTATGGTGACCCCTCCTTTTTACACTATTTCCGTAGTTTAAAAATATGTGTTTCTTTTCTGACTGAAACTGAACTATTGCTTATGAGCCTTTTGGCTAGGAAATTAATAGCTAGCGAAAAATAATATCATAGAATCAATTTTTAAAACTTCAAACCCAGTGTGACGCATTTCATCATTTAAAAAATGTTATGACTGCCATTTTTTAATTGTGTTTGAATTATTAAGCACTTGCACACGCACAGACAAAATTGATGTTGTCCCAGTGCCGAGTGTCGGAAAAGCTTGAATTCCCTGCTGACATCTAAAGATTAAAAGACCAATAGATCACGATTAATGACTTTTCTTTCATTCTTCAAAAGTGAAGACGTGAAAGACATGAAATTCTGTCTGCTGCTCCAGAGCAACGCCGCAGCAGAAAGCTTGATTCAATCTTGAGGAAAGTAACTGGAAAATGGCGATGGTAAAAGTGTTGGCGGTCTTCTTCTTTCTCATTGAAAGTTGTGCAATTCAGCAAACGTCTGCTGCTCAAAACACCGACTGTCCCACCGAACAACTCAAAGTTACCGCCTTGTTGCTTCCTCCTTATGTTATTCATGTTAACGCGACTACGCACCAAGGCATTGCTTATGACTTCATCAAAAAGGGACTTGAAAGATGCTTCGATCATTGTCAAGTTGGGTCTGTCAGTTGGACATTCGTAAACAACACGAAAGACCTGGTTGAAATCGTAACCAACAAATCTACAGATATTGCATTTCCGATTACTTCGTATGTAGAGTATGAACTTGAGAAGAGCGAAGACTGGTTTTCGGAAAATCATTCGGATTTTGTATTTGAAGAAATGATGGAGTCCCCTGGATTGTCTCATGTTATACATACTGAGAATTTCAATCATAAAGCCAGAATGCATATTGTGTCTAATTTGTTGGAGATTTGGCCGATAGTTGTGTTTTGTTTGTTACTTGCGGGTACGTCTGGTATTTTTGTCTGGGCTTTGGTAAGTATATGCTTCCAAGTGAATCCATCTTCCCCTCATTCCGGTCTACCCATCTGCCTTAATGGACTACTTTGACGATACGGCGGCCATCTTGGATCGCAGGGCATTATTGGGCGTCCAGGGGAAAAATAAAGCTTTGTTACAGTAAGGACGTCGATTGATATTAACAGCTCACCACAAGAGAATACAACAAAAGATGAATTAAGACGGCACATCGATCACCTTTACCCATAAAAAAAAGACAAACACACGAAAGTCTATATCTTTGTCTTGTTTTGCCTCCTAGCAAGATGGCCGTCGTATCGTCGAAGTAGTCCAATAATCTGTGCACGCGCATGCATTCATCCATACATCACGTATATATGGGACTCTATGTATCCATCCATTCTTTTAGTAAGTTATGAATACTTTAGAGATTAACTAACAACAACGATTTCTATTTGAAGGAATACAGAATCAACCGCTCCCAATTCCCAAAGAATTTTTTCACTGGTTCTTACGAAGGTTTCTGGTGGGCTTTTGTCACCATGACAACAGTTGGGTGAGTCAGGTTTGTCAGTGAAAGGGAAGTGAAAGCGAGAGCGAAGGAAAGGTGAGTAAAAAAACAGGAAGAAAATAAATAAATAATGAAGAAATGCGAAGTTAAGGAGGGAAAAAGAAAGAAAGCAAGAAAGCGAGCAAGCAAGCAAGAAGCATTAACAACAACATCTAGTTTATCATATTTTATTGCAATTTACTTTCATTTAGATATGGCGACAAAACTCCCAAATCAGTGTGCGGACGACTGTTCGGGGTGTTATGGATTCTAATCGGTCTAGTAATCATCGCAGTGTTTACTGCTGGTGCTACTAATTCTCTCAACGCTGGCATCACGTACTACGAATCTGGGATAAAAGGAAAACATGTATGCTATCATTATAATATACAATCACTATACTAATTACATTAAACTTAGGTATCCCTCCCTTTTCCTCGCACATTCTTTCATTAACCATTTTTTCCAATAGCCAAATAGAACATAAATCCGATCCCAACTCAATTCGTTGACCTCAAATTGAAACACCTATGATTGCGGCGACGTTTCGTCGAGCGATACGCTGAGTAGGCCCAGTATTTCCATGTCCCAATAATCCACATTTCATAACTCGTCGAACGTTGGTGTGTGTAGTGTTTTATTAGGTATGAAAGCACGAGGCGTAGCCGAGTGCTTTTATACCTGATAAAACACGATCTACGAGTTTTTTGAACTGCTTAAAACACTCATGAACAATTTATAAGATTTTGGTTCAACTGGAGCCACCATACACATCACGTGCATGGATTTTTATACTTCGATAGAGATTTGACGTCACGGGCATGCGCAACCAGATTCAATAGAAGCTCCCACACGTTGGATATTGCGTGCCAAGGCAAAGACAGGCACGTTAGCCAAAGATGATCTTTAGAGTTAATTAACTATGACCTTGATGAGGCTCTTAGTCTTCATCTAAACTTGGATGCATGCTTCATCCCTGATGATGTCATCATCATAGTATTCGAGTGGTCTTTATATAAAGACCCCGTGTCTTTATATAAAATTACTTGAATACTAATAAAGAGGACTTTATCGGGTATAAAGGTCCATGCACGTGACGCGTATGGTGGCTCCAATTGGACCATAAGCTTATGAATTATTAATGAGTGTGATAAGGTTTTTAAGTGCACCGCACGTAACATTTATCCACTTTTATCATTTATTTCTTACAACTAATCTTTGAGAAGCAATAAAATTATTCTCGAACCCAAGAGGAGGAGCTCTGGATACGAGAATGTAAGAGAACTGTCTTCACTCAGAGTTCCTGTTACTTTTTTTTTTTGTAGATTGGAGTTCTTAAGTATTCCGAGGCAGGTAATGTTGGAGTGAAGAATGGAGCGGAAATATCAGGTAGAGAATTGGTCCATGTTAATATCACTGGCTTGCGCACAAGGCTATACTGAATTTCAAAGAAATGACAACATTTTTGAATTTTTTAACTGACATGTTTCGACAGCATTAAACAAAGGTCATCTTCAGAGTGATTATACAAGGCAAATGATTGAATATACACTGGAAAGTTGTTAATTTGTATAAATTAAGAACAAAAGGAAAGAACAATTATCACAGGGCGGTCATGTTTATTCTCGTGAGAATAAAAACCTTTGTTTCACACATGGCTGCCGCGTGAAAAAGGCCCTTACTAATACTTTCAAAAACTGGTTATAAAGTGCGAGTATAAAGTGCGCATCATTGTCAGTATCGTTATTAAAGGTCCATTGCCAATTGCACGCAAGTTGCACGGCACATTACCTAGCATTCTCATGCTCCTTAAATCCAAATTGTTGTATTGTTTATAACAGAGTATGATAATTTCAAATCGATGCACAAGCACCTAGACGAGGACAAACTGGACGGACTTCTTATCGACCGATACGAGGCGGCGTTCCTACTCGACAAATGGCATAGAAAAGATCTTCGAGTTCTGGACACAATTGATAAGGAGATCAGTTACAAGATGGTTCGTTTGTATGACAGGAATACGGCGCTTGGGAATAATAGCTGTTTTCAAGGAAGGATTCTCAGGCACACCAGATTGACTCAAAACCTTGTGAATTTGTATATAAAGCCGATTAGGGTAAGCATAGTTAACCTTTGAGGAGAAAATGGGGGGGCCCTCAAATTCTTTTAGTGGAATATGGGGGGGCCTTAAAAGGTCAAAAGGAGGATTGGGAGGATTTTCTAAACAATTGAAGGGGGGTACTCGAAAAACATGAATGCTATTAGGTTGGGGTCTGGAAAAATTTTTTGCATGGCAAAAACATTTTCTCCTCCACCCCCTCCCCCCTCCCCCCGTTTCTCCGACTTAAATAATGGCCTGTATCTTCTCATGATGCACAACCATTAATCAAAGAAATAACATTCTAGGGAATGACACGTGGTCTGAAATGGGAAAAATTACACCCAAGTGGATTTAATAGTCTATTTTAATCATAGTTATGAATACCATCGACAGTCTCTCGTTTTCTCACCGGACTCTGAAGATGACTTCCCCTCAAGTTGTCGAAACGTCAGTCACCAACAACAACTCTCCTTCTCAAGACTACACTTACCCGGACGATCATACTTTACAACAAACTTCAACACCTGGGTTCAAATCATTTACTCTCTTAAGTTAGTATTTTAATGCACAAAAGAAATCCTGATCGACAAGTGTAGAGCTATAGCCCCTCTAGGCCCGTTTTTAAATTTTGGTTTATCTAAACTATTTTCTTTTTATCGCAGGCATTCAACATCGCACAACACTCGGTTGGTATCTTTTCTAGTACAGCACCTTCAACCATGATCACTGCTGCCGTGTTCAGTGGAACGTTTGCGTGCCTGATCATCTTAGGATCAATTTACCAGTTAATTTATCGCAGATGTGGTCTCTCGCGTAGAAAAACGTATAATGCTGAAGGTAAGTTCTACTAATAACATTAATTTTATGGAGCGTAACCATGCAGTTTTTCCACTCCAAGGGATCACTCACACTCTATTCCACCAAAACATCCTGCCTTACGTAATACTTAGTCACATCTATTCTTTACTTGAATCTCCTTTAAATTTCAAACAAAATGTGGACAACTTGATCATTTAGAACAGTGATTAGATATTCAAATTTGTGCTCGCAGCGTTAAGGACCGGAGTTTCCAAGGTCGTGTCTTCCCAATTGCTTTCCTACCGCATCTTATCTTGCCACTTTATTGATGGTTTTCACGGCGGCCATGTTGGAGGAACTAAACAAAAGAATTGTCAACCAATTCTTTTGTTATATCCTCCAACATGGCCGCCGTGTCTTTGGGTCGTCCTTCACGAATTTGCAAAATTTCCTTGGGAATGGTTGAAAACCATCAATAGGTTATTTCATGTCTTCAAATAAGCCATTTCTTTTTATACCCTCCCATTGGTTTGTCAAGAGTCCCAGAGTTAAAATGGTGAGTGCGCGTGTTTCAGTAAATTTGAAAATTCCCGCCAAAACTACAAAAACACTTTTCACTTTATTTTTTGCACCTTAAATGCAAATTAGTGCGTCAAGTTTGGTACTAATATTTGGTTGCTCAAGGCATTTGATTAAGTCACTACTTACTCAGGTTTCTGTATTTTAATTTTCATAATTTTCCTTTCAGATGAAATGATAAACATGCATTCCCTTATGCTAAAAGAATTGGGCGAAAGCGTCAAAACGTTAATTGAGGATCTTGACAAACTAAGAAACAAGCTTCATAAACTAGATGCCAAAGAGCTATGTGAGAAGAAAATGAACGGGCATGCGGCGAACATAACGATTTATTCCAGAAGCCATGAGAATGAATAATCTTAAGTGAAATGTTTAAAATTCTACAAGAGACTCTCTGTTTACCTGTCTGAAACGGGACACGCAAATTATTTATGAACCATTCCTCTTTTTCTTTATACTTTTATATCAAACGGCATAAATTTTTATTTTTCTAAAAAACACAAGACATTTCAGTTGACATATTTTATGTTATTTAGTTAGTTACATTTAATTACTAAATGAAATATTGAGAAAGTGGCCATCAGTCTGCATTCGAAAGCTCTCTTTAACCTCTCCATTCCCCAATCACTGTAGGGGCAGGCAATGATGGTTGCAGTCCTCTTAGGGTTGAAAATATTTTCGATGCAAAAGTCAGTATGTAAAATGACTTCATATCTTTTAGGGTCAAGAGTTTTTTCTCTTTATTGAACAAAAATGGATGAAACAAAGAGTTCGATGCACCCAAGTGGCTAGTCCAATGAAATTTAGGCTTATAAAATCAATCAAATATGGTCATACCTTTTAGGGGTGTAAAATCAACATGGCTTCAACAGCTCTCTCAATTCATACTGTATAGACCTTTTAGGGATCATTTTATGGGTGGTACTATAGTGGTTTACTGCTCGCCACTCACTGCTTTGGTCCAGGTTTGAGCCCCGGCTCTGACTGGATCATATGTGTGTTGAGTTTGTTTAATGTTTTGTTCTCTCCATTTCCACGAGGATTTTCTCCGAGTTCTCCAGTTTCCTCCTTCCATAAAAATCAACATGTGAGTTGAGTGTTGAATATTGTAAATATAGAATGTAGTGGAAGTGCATGAGGAGGGAACCTCATGGAAGAGCCCCATACAGGTAGTGGTGGTTGTAAAATGTATAATATGCATTTTCAAAACTGACTGCCAATCACCCCTACCACTTTGACAATGGGACTACTCTCCCCGGACCTAAAACATGCAATCATGTAACAATAAAACTGCCAGATATAGAAAGTCACAGGCCCTGTAAGCTAAGACCTGTCTAGATTTAAAAGATTAAAATATGTACATTTACAACAATTCTAATGAAATGAGTCTTTTAATTAGTATAAATTACTATATATATGTGGCAGAGCATGAAATGAGGGGAGGGGGGCTTTGGAGCACTTTTTTTGAGTGAGCAGACTAATCTCTGTTTGTCCCAGAGGGCCACAGGTTTGTTAGCATATTACTATTTAGTGCTACCCTCAGTAAATAAAGAGTTTATTATTATTTCTTCATAACAGAACTAAAACTAATAAGAGAAAATAAAAACCCTGGAACTCCTCCATCCCAGGCCTGTTGTTTAAGATTGAGAAAGGGGAGTGGTATTTTGTTCCCTTGCTCCAGATAGGCCAGCGCAGTGCAGGAAACCTAATGCATAGGAAATTACTGCGGAATTTTTAGAATTCCCTGGGACTGGAATACTAACTGTCAATCAAGTGCAGTAAAAAAAAAAGTTTGGACCTCATGCACTGAGTCACCATATACGTTTGTAGAAATTCCAGGGGCAAATCCAGGGATTTGTTAGGGGGTGTTTCAAATGAAGAAATGTAAAAAGAGACATTACTGCATTGTTTCAAAAAAGCGTAAAAAGTATTTACAGCGTTAGGGGGTGTCTGGCGCACCCCCTGGCTCTGCCCCTGAGTTCATATTCTGCTATGATGCTATTGCAGGCACAGAATCTTACCTTTTAAATGATTTGAGCCCTCTACTTGAGCATAGCATTACAAAAACTTCGAAATAAACAATACAAATAGATCTAAATAGGTGTTATGATAAATTTTCAGTCACTGGAGGGTGAAGGTATTAAAGTTCAACATTCTACATTGTCAATATAATATTTAAGCATGAATTAAAAATAATGCTTATACATGCTTTTTCCAATAAGAAATAAGATAAAAATAAAGAATTAAAAAAAAAAGAAGTTGAAAAAGTTTATTTTACTTAAAATTAAATTATGCAATAAACTGTTCAAATTAACCAAAATCCCGCGCTTTTATCCCAGCGCGCAGTGCATCCTGGACAGGTTCCTGAGGAAGATGGCGTCCAGCGAAAACGATACTCAGAAAGGTATGGAAGATTTAAAATTCGAGATTTTCCCTAAATAACACCAAAACCACTACAGAAACGCTAGACATAATTTAAAACTCTCTACAACCCCTTAAACATTAGATTAATGAAAATAACCCATACTTACCTGCGCTCAAACTCAACTTCTCCTTCGCCCGCCAAACAACACGTTGTATAATTCAACGGCAAAGACCACAACGAGGACAAGACTCACCATACTGTTTGCCCTCAACCCTTTGAGCCCGAAAACATGGTTCCTGGCTGTAGGTATTGATTTATGGATGGTGTTTTGGAGGTATTTTGTGGAGTAAAATTTATAGTTTTGGATATTTGTAGGGTCAGCGGTGGGGTGTTTTATAGTTCTCCGCTGACCTTGCAAACCTCTTCCCTCTTGTCTTTACTCTTCTCTCTCGTACACATACAAAAATACAATCAGCCGCTGAGTGAATACCACTGTGGGCCATCAATACAATCTTTTTCTCACTTTATTTGACCCTTCAACATCGTGATCACTCAGGAACTTTTACCAACAAAAGATTATGAAATCGTCGCCATATTGTTCAAGGAAAATCTAGTTCACGATTTCGCAATTTTCGTATTTTTAAAACATTCTTCCAACACGGAGAAATCGCTTGTTTACTTGTTCTCGCCTCGGAGTCTTGTATTTTGTCACTGCTGGTGCTATTCTGGGTGATTTTTATTTTTTTTCTCGGTTAAAATAGGAGTTTTTTTGTTTGGTGTTGGGTTTTGAGGCGTTGTTTTGTCCTCGTGGAAAGCACGAGGAGCGATAGAGATAAACCTTTCACTATCCTTACTTTTTCTTTTATTTTACAACAGTTCTGAACTTAAAAACAACATTTCGCTTACTTAAGACTCTGCATGATTTTTTTCTAAAGTTCCTGGACGTCTTAAGCTGTATTCTAGCTGCTTTTTGGTGCTGAAGGCGAATTTAAATTAGGTTATTTTTACAATCTCTTATAATTCAAGTCACGTTCACACCCACGTGGGGAAAAAAACCTCATAACTTTTGATCACTTTTGAGATTAAAAAAAAATTATCATAAATATGAATGCTAAAAACAGAACTTATGGGAAATATGTGGAAAACAGTCTTATAAGTTTATTAGGTTCTAATAGAGTTACAGAAGGAGTATTTTTGAAACAAGAAATAAAAATAAGTACAACAATATTTTTTAACATATAAATGACGATTCATAAAGATTTGTACCGACATTGAAATCTTTCGACATTCCAACTTTAAAATTCAATAACTATTTAAAGGAGCAAAATATCAAAATCGCCCAATCCCTTTTTTAGTTTATCTTTTGCTTATAATTCACATAGTGAAATTCTTTTGGTTAAACTCACTAACACCATGTGCATTGATTCACCTCTACTGAATGTGCCCAATTTGTGTTCAAGGCTCTGGCATTGTTTCAAATTATAAAATTTGCGTCATACTTTTATCACTGAATGATAAATTAGCATGGAGCAGTATAAATTTACTTTAACCTTATTACAAAACCTTGTTTGAAGCTTCGGAAGCAAAATTTTGCCCCACTCACCCTCCCCTTGGCCTGGTGAAGGTGATGTGCATGTTCCTCTAGCTTCCTCACTGCAGGCATCCCAGACCTCCTATATATCCTATATTTCCTATAATTTGTATAGGATCCTATAAAGAGCCTATATTTAAAGAAAAACTCCTATATTTCCTATAAATAGGACGACTGCTGATTGATACATTTATATTTTACACTGTTTAGTATATTTGGTGAAGGAAATAAAATGGCCCTTTTTTTTTCTTGGTTCTGTTTTTTTTATGGCTTTTTAGTTCTGCAAATCATTGCCTGTGCACCCTCCCGATCCCTGGTTACGCCACCGAAAAGCTATCTTAGCTCCTATAAAGTGCATATATTTTTGGGNTTTTGGGAAAAAATCCTATATTTTCCTATATTTAGAACTTGCACAGCCTATATTTCCTATCAAATTTGTCTAAAAAGTGGCTGGGATGCCTGTCACTGTTAAAAGCTCATTGTTACAGTCGTGGATCTCACCCCATAACTTAATTACTGCGTTATGATAATGAGTATTCAGTGAGGATATATTACTATAATAAACGTCATCTCAATATGTGAAATACATTGTGTTTGTATTGTCCATTGTTGTGACAGTGTCTTGGGTATCCTTAATTCATTTATGATGTCCCTTCATCATTGTGTTTTGCATACTCAAAGTTTTTCTCAAATCAAGTTTTTCCCATTTCTGGCTATCACATTACTTTATGKATCAAATAACTGGGTAGAAGGTGCTGCAGTACATCTGCAAATGGTTAGACCTTCAGGCACATAGCAAGGGTTTTCGGAAGGAGGAGTCCCAAATTAAAAACAAATTTTTGTTTGAACCCCTGAAAAGCCAAACCAAAAAAGAAAATGGCATATGTTCGTTTTACAATTTTTTTTGCAAAAAAATCCTGCCCTAAAAGGTGTGAGCACGGTTTGTCTGTTTGCAGCTTGCAGAACTTCTTGGTTGTGTAATTAAGAAATTTACTTAATTAGTTTGAAGTATTTAATAATAGATAGTCTATATTTCAAAATTGCAGTCAGGATTCATGATTCATTATAAATTAAAGTTGTCTCTGACTTATGAAATTTACAATTATTTCTTAGAAATACATTACGATCTAAACAGAGACCTTCATCAGTATAGCTGAAAATGTTTGCACACGCGAGTTTTAAGGATCTTATAGCATGTGCAATAGCGCTAGAATGTTAGGTGAAAGTTTTCTGTATATTTGTGGAATGTTAATGGAATGTTTGATGGCTTTAGAATCTTGTTGAGAAAACCACGCTTTAAGGAATAATCTTTTATGCATATTGTTGACCTCTCCGTCTATTATAGCCATGCCACCCAGGTCAAAGTCATGTCCAGTTGAGAGGGAGTGTTAGGCTATATTAATTTATTAGTTAAATTACTTTCAAGTGTTATCCTCTATAAACAAATTTGATTGATTTGTTTGTTTATTTATTTATCCCTTTGAAAACATATTGTTCAGTACATAGAATAAAGATATGACATGTTTCAGGGATTGCAATAGTATTTTTCAATCTAGTTCCTGCCATCCAAATAATCACATGCTCAAATTTAGGTCCCAAGCATTTAATTGTAGTTAATTTTAATCAATCCATGTATTTAGGAAGTCCATATCAAAACAAGTAAATTGAGTCTAAAATATAAAAATTTTTCTGTCCTATATTTTTTTAACTTTCTAACGCCTGTGTTTCCAGACATGACTGGACCAGAAAATCAAGGTTCTGAAGATGTTGAATCTCAGAAAGATGGTAGACATGAAGAGCAAGCAATAGAACAAGAAAAGCAACAGGCATCTGAACAAGTAAGTTGTCTTGACATGTTTAAATTAATTTAATCTATAAATTTTTAAGTGTAAAATCATTTTTGTAATGCTTTGAAAAGCTGCATGCAGCAAAACTAAATGTACCACAATTCAATCAAAACTAACTGAGGAAACAATATACAGTTTGCACCTGTTGATGATAATCATTGTATTCTGTCAAAACTGAAAAATTCTTGATTTGTAAACTTCAGTGGGTGCATGCATGGGTGTGTGGGGAAAATGATAATTGAGTTATCAGGATCTCTGGGTTTTACATTTTGGGCTGTTGTTTTAAGAATATATTTTTACAACAAAAGAAAAATTGTAAATGAATGATTTGGTGAAAAAGTGTATGTGGCATTTGGGAAGGCCCATAGATATAAGGCTCCTTCCTCTATTTTTTCATGAATAAAAACATTGTCACTACACAAAATAATTAAGTTTTACTATACAAAATTCTACCTATTGAAAACAGAATTCAGAAGAAACACAAGAAAAAGCAGAGAAAACAGCAACCAGTAATGAAGCAGCAGAGAAATCTACTGACAATGAAGAGCAGGAGCCACAAACATTATATGTGGCAATCCAACCAGGTGCCAACATGGACTCTCCTCAAGTGGAACAACCAGCTGTCTATGTTGAGGTGGTAGAAGCTGGAAATGGTACTGAGATTGGTAGCAATGAAGAGCAAGTTGTCCAGGAAGGAATGGTTATTGAGCAGAGTGAGTAAAGTTATTGTTTTTGGAGTGTATACTTATTGTTACTGAATGTTAATTTATTGAACAACTTAATTGCTTTTGCATTACCTTGCAGCACCTAACTCTGATGCAGCCAACATACCAACATCCATGATGTCCCAAGTCATAGACCAAGCAGCTCTCTCTACAATGCAAGCTGAAATGATTGCAGTCCAAGTACTCTCTCAGTCGGCATCAGGGGATATCCAGTATCTTCAACAACAGACACCACAGCAGTTTATACCTATAGTCTCTGGTGCTGATGCCAGCACACTCTCTACTTTACAAGCAGCACTGGGACAGGTGCCGTTATCTGCCCTTCAGGTCAGACTTTATGCCAGAGTAGCCTTAAATTGTTAGATACAAGTCATTAGTCATGTAAGAAGTGTTGGGGAAGTCACATGATTTTAGTTTAGTTTGTTATCTCTGGACTGGCTCAATGCATCCAAAAAAACTTGTTATAACTAGTCTTGTTATTGCTAACCACCACTGTGAGTACAGCAGTGAAGCAGCTAAACAGGGTTAAACTATAGCTATACAGTCCATGTATGAACCCAGATCACAGCCAGCTTTAATCAGCTTGAATTAGAGGGACTTAATTTAATAGGAGTGAGGAAAAACTGGGGGGAGGTGG